GTCAATTTTTAGTTCATAATTTTAGTATCAGGGTTTTCTTTCCTTTCTCACAGGTTTCAACTCTATTCTATTTCTAATTTTGAAAAGCTACATATTTAAATAGAAATACCAAAGAAACTGTGAAGAAGGGACATTGACAAATAAGGTCCAAGATTAACTGATTATTTCAAGGTCTTGATAAGACCTGCTACCTTCCTTCAGCTGCTCCCTGAAGGATTTCAAACAGTTTGAATAAGGTTTGAATTGGCCATTTTCAAGAAGTGATAAATATACTATATATTTATCTCTCAGCTGTGGGACTCTGGATCTTAACGTATTATGAGCTCAAGTATTCCAGTTTCTCCTGGGTAAATGTTTGAGGGCCTTGAAAGAGATTATGTGGAATTGAACTGAATGCCTGACAACTATTCCATGCTTGTCCAGTCTCTCCCAGTTTCCTGGACTTGTCAAAAACACCACAATAAACTGTCTTGCTTTCAAGTATTCACTTCTCAGTATCCTGGTACTTACATAGGGAATCTTTCCTATGTTTTGAATCTCTAAGAGAAGGGCATAAGTTGGGCACCAGAATGAGGAATTACTGGAGAGCCAAAATCCTAAGGGAACCTTGATACCTGATTATCCTCCAACCTTTGGGAAGGCCTATGTCGAGCTCACATTATGAAAGGGAAACAAGGCTGAGTCTGCTGACTGACTAAATGCTGGGAGAGAGGAAGAGGGGGCTATAGGAACAACCTCATTGAAAGCCTTCCTTCTGCTCTTCCTCAGGAGAAGGTAATACACAGTGATGTACAGATACTGCAAAGCCACCAGAACTGGAATGCTACATCCCCAGTCTCTGCTATATTCCATGTACTGGCAGGTGAGAGACATGAGTTCAATAAGTATTTGTTGAAGGAATCAATAAATAAATGAGTCACTGGTCCCTAGAAGGGACCTCAGAGTTGGATCCTTCAGCTCTATGTCAGAGAGACCCTGGGGTGTGAGTCTTGCCTAATGAAGTTGCATCCTTAAATGTGATTGGGTTCTGGGGCTCTCTCTGTAAGATGATTTTGAGGCCCTCTTCATCCACTAAGCAGGACAAGGCCGCGTCCTGATGTGAAGGCTTTGTTCCTGTGGAAAACCCCTAATTGTCTAAGTACTATCTATGTGATTGGGTTGATGAGCCACTTTTCTAATGAGATCCCCAGGCATCATGGTGTTAGAATCTTGCTGTTGCTGCCTTGGGGACACTCACTGTGGCTTTGGGGAGAGAGGCCCCGGAGTCCTGGGGCATAGGAGAACAGTCCTCTCTGACAGCCTGCAATCCAGACTTAAAGAGACAGAGCTATGGAGAGACACAGGAGAGCACGGTGTAACTTTCTCTATGTCTGTTACTCCCAGATGTGACCAATCCAGGAGACGAATAAACTGAAAGACTCGTGATTTCTGTTTTTCTTCCAGTCCTCTCCTTCGGAAGATTCTGTGTGCTGCATCTGCCACAGCACAACAGGAGTCCTGCAAATCACGGTTTCCAGCTTCACTCTCCTGAATTCTGAATGAGCCTCAGTTCTGCCCACTGAGATGTAAGTGACATTCCACAACTCAGTGAAGCAGGCATTCTCGTTCTGTCACTGAATATGGCCTTACGCCCCTTTTCTCATGGGACACCACTTTTTCTGTTTCTTTTATCTCCCAGGAATATTGTCAAGTGGAAAAACTGAATATACAGTGGTGCCCTAACACTTAGGGATCAAAAAGCATAAATATTGAGAAAATCACCCAGAAAATATTATTTTCTCTAAGAATATTAAAAATA